AAGACACGAAGGGTTTCAGAGATCGGCACAGGCTCGCCCACATCTTTACCTAGCTGGACCCTTGTTTGGTGTCTTTTCCTTTTGTTCTAGGATGCTTCTTGCTGCGCCCTCCTTGGCAGGCTCAGCTTGTTCGCATCATTGTCCTAGCATCTGCTTGACCGTTGCTAGTTGCCACTCGGTGCAACGAGTTGGTGCTGGAGACGACTGCCAGACCTCTCGCAGCCTCCAGCCCTCCAGCGCACGATTCGTAGCCAGGCAGTGACATGATCGAGGCCAAAACGGACTCCCAGGTGCGCCCGATGTGTTCGTAGATCCCCTGACGAGGCACTTCGAAGTCTTCAGGGCGCTGAGGTCGCAGGGCAGCCCTGCAGACTGGAGCGGCCCGGGCAAAAGCGTGGGACAAGGCACACGGGGTCACACGGGGTCACATGCTCGCGAGATCTCGAGAGTGCGAGTGTTTCTGCGATTGTTGTCACCTGCCCAAGCTCACCCTGCACTTTTTTGATCTCGCCACTGCTCTCCCTGAGGGATGGCTCGCCCAGTCGCTCACAAGGCCGTCGAGACCATGCTCGGGCAAGGTCACGGCAGCTTGGACGAACGAGACCATGTTTCTAGCCACAAGTACCCATCCTGAAGAAGGGGAAGTGAAACTCTGAGAGCAAAGCCTGAGAGCCATGGAGCCCTGACCACGTTAAGGTCTCGAGGAGGCAGAGGCCAAGGCCGCGACGACTGGGACGCCAGAGGCGACGACCGGAGGCGGGGCCTGAGATCTGCGTCTTCGGCTTCTCAACTAAAGAAGCTCCCAGTTCAAGATCAGTAATGACATCACGTGCGGCTCTGAAATGCAGGGCTCTTCGTGTCAAGGGTTGAGGCTTCTCCCCACGCCTTGGCATGGTGCAAAGCAAATCAGCTCAAATGCCTCCGTGGGCCAGTCTCGAGCATCTCCCGGCGTGGCTCTTGGAAAGATGATGGTGCAAGTGCAGAGCTGTGGAGTTCTTGGCGGCTGCTGTTCCTCGGGTGGATCCCGTCTGGTGCGAAGCCTCTAAGCAGCCAGAAGTCTCCGCAACGGGAGAGCGAGGAGCAAGCGGCAGCAAGCGCTTCAAAATTCTCAGCAAATCTCGCCGACACTCGCCGACGAGTTGCAAGGTGAGGTTCAGTCGACCTCGACTTGGTTAGGTTCAATAACTGCCGTGGCGGCAACCGAGCCTAGCTTTCAAGACTGCTTGGGGTTTTGATCTAAGTCCCGGGGCTGATGCAAGGCTCTCGACTGCAGCCAGACAGCCCATGCAAAATTGGCATATTTGCATCAGCAAAGTGGCGCCAGCAGCTGGCATTGCGTGGAAATGGCTCGTCAGATGCACTTCGTCGGATGGATGGGCAGCAGAGTTGGCAGCATCCGTGCTTCCGGTCGCAGATTCCCCGGCTCCTCCGAGTCAGCTTGCTAGAGTCAGAGCATCCGAAAGACCGGAATCGACGCATCTCAGCACCGGGTTGCAACATAAAGTCTAGTAGCTGATTTGCCTTGCCAGAGGTGTTTCAAGACATGTCACGACCCTGGTTCTTGGTGTAACCTGAGATCGTTGGCAACAGTGAGCTTGACAGACCTTAGCTGCTTAGCTCTGCCCTCTGCCCTCCCTGAGAGGCACGGCCACGGCCGACGTCGTGAGCGTGATGCTTGGGAAGCCCGAGGGCCTCGGGACCGCGAGCGCCGCCCCGCTCTTGGACGGTCTTAGACGAGAATCCCTTTCTCCGTGCCGCGCAGAGTGCTTCTCTACGTCTCTCTTCTCTCAGGTGAGCGTGGCGAGCGAGAGAGGGGAGGAGACCGAGAACGGGACCGGCCCGAGCGCGGCGAGCGCGGTGATCGCGGCGAGCGTGCCGATCGCGGGCGCCGGGAGCGCGACCGACCCCAGCGAGGCTCGGAGGATCGGATCGGATCGGTTGTGGTGCTGGAAGGGTTGAAGGCTTTTGAAGCTGCTGCATATCCGGTTGATGCACAGATGCCGATTGAATGAAGTCGAGCTTCAACTTCCTAGCTATAGGCTTAATCGCAAAACAGTCCAAGTTGAAACATCGCTCCCAAAAGCACTGCAATCGATACAGGTGAGTCGCAAGACTCGCGGGCGGCCGACCGGGAGCAACGCCGTGGTGAACGCCAGCGCTCTCGCACACCGGATGGGCTGCCCAGGAAGGGGACTCAATTGAAAGGCTTTGGCTCTCGCAGAACCTGTGTCGCCCCACAATTGCTGTGAGAGCTTGGCCTGTATGGAATGTCCTGGGTGGTGTGACATACGGAGCAGTAGAGAAAGAGGCAGGAGGTAGGCAAACGGTGCCACGGCCTCAACTATCAGGAAAAGCGAGGCCATCAATGCCGCACGTGTGGCGTACGAGGAGACTTCCATTTTGCTCCAGGTTTGGCATGGCTTGAGTATGCACCGCAGCGTCCTCCAAGCAGGGCGGTCCTGTGCTGATGCACCATGATGCACCGCAGGAGACAAGCCGCCGTCTGCAAATGGCCCAGACGGAGGCAGAGTCAGCAGAGGCGGCAAAAGGGTGCGTTGGGGCCAGGCTCAAGCAGCAATTCTTGCGAAATTTCTGGCTAGGCAGCGTACAAGAAGATGCAAAAAGCAGCTGATCACGCTGTCGACCGCAAGGCATGTAAGCGGGAGGGGGGGAGAGTGGCTGAGGCTGGAAGGTTCTTGAGAGCCGGGGGACTGAGGTTGCGGAGGAGAGCAGCCACATCAAGAAAGATGTGGAGATCAAGCTTGGCTCGACACTTAGAGCCGGTCTGATTTCTAGGGAGCCACCCTGAAGCTTCCATTCTTCTGTGGCGTGGTGTCTCTTTCTTCGTTAGGTGCCATGAAAGCGGGGTCAAAGAACGCCCTGGCGCTGGCGCTGGACGATGCCGAGCTGCAGCTGCGCCAGGAGTTGGCGGACAAGATCGCGCAGATGAAGAAGGCCCAGCGGTGCAACCTCCTAAAGTCCCCCCCAACTCCCAGAATCGCTGCCTGAGCCGCCAAAACCAAGGAGTACCAGAAAAAAGCCCCGGTCCCAGCAGCTAGTTCCTGCCTTTTGTGGCATCTGGGTGTCGGGGACGAGCAGAGGCCTTGTAACCCTCAGCCACAAGGTTGAAGACGAGCATGTCCGGATCCGACGGCAGCATGCGGAGGAGGCGGAGGATGCGGAAGCGAAGGTGCCGGGCAATCGGCAATCACCCTTGGAGGGTTTAGGGTTTCTTGAGTTTCTTGGTGTTCAGATTTAGGGCCTGGTTTAGGGTTTTAGGAGTTTGCGCTTTTTGTGTTTTGACGGTTTGACTTGAGCTTTCAGATAGTTTTAGAGCTGTTAAGGAACAACCATAATCGGCTCTGCTAGCTTGCCTTCAGACCAAACTGCAGGTGCAAGAGGAAGCTGAAGACAGAATCAAGGCGCCCAGAAACTCAACACAGCGGGCTTGCGGTCGCTTCTCCTGAGTCCGAAGATTCGGCTTCACTTCTGAAGGGTGCTTCAACTGCAACTCTGCAAAAGCGGGTTAAGATATGAGTTTGGTCGGCGGTCGGGTTTGATACGAGTGGGCAACGCCGTTCACCCGTATCAATTTCAACTGCGAAGGAGCTTCGCAGAAAAGCGGAAGAGGAGGAGAATCCCTGGGAGTGGCGAGAGGCTCGCGACAAGGCACCCGGCTGTGTCGGTTTCGGGTCAGCAGCGAGGCTTTGCTTTTGCTACCCATGTCATCTGCACAGCCTGCAAGGCTGTCGAAGCCTTGCAGAAGGAGGAGGCGCGAATTGCGAAACTGCAAACGCAGTGGGCTCCGAACACCAAGGCCCGCGCGGAATCGTTTCTCGGCAGGAGAAGCTGGACTCAGCCAAGCGACGATTGGAGACACTCACCGGCGGGCCAGTAAAGGACCAGAAGGGTTCTTTTTGAGTTTCTGTTCCACGGGGTTCAGTGATGTTGAGTGCCTTCGAGAGTCGACAGCTCCAAACTCTGGTGCAGAAGGATCGTCGCTCTCGATCTCTGTTACCCAGAGATCGAGAAAAGCGAAAACGAGTTCCACCTCCTCCACCGCAGGCACCATGCCAGCTTTCTGACAGATTTCAGTTGTCTCGTCTGTCTGAAAATTTGCCTGAACATGTGGATGACATGACAAGCGCGACTTCATCGGTCTGTATTTCGGACAAGTTGCTGGCTTGCCTGCTCCCACCCTGCTCCGTTCATCTAGCCCTAACCCGGTCGATTCCCTTCAACCACCAGCAACGAGATCCGCCTGGAGAGTCGGCAGGCGCGGGTTCGCGACTGAGATCGGCCAGAGCGGCCATCCAATCATTCTGGAAATGCGCAGGCCGAGGGGACGGGCTGCGTTCGAAAGCCGAGGGCATCGCAATAGAGAGCACCTCTACCTCTGTGGACCTGTGGAGACTTTGGAGTTTTTAGTCTTCGGGCCGGGCAGGTCTCCATCTGGGCACGGCGCACTCGCAGCTTTCGATGCATTTGGATGGAGTGTCTGTTGCAAAAAATGAGACGCTGCAGTGCTCCTCTGCTGTGGGTGTCAAGGTGTTTGTTGACGGCGTTTGCCCATGTGGCTTCATGCTTCACAGGAAAACCACGCAGTGTCCAGGAGCGGCAGCGGCTGCTGCAACGCTGGGAGGCCATGCCCGGCCAGGTGGGGAGCGTGGAGTTACGGAGGATCTGGTTGGAACAGGAAAACCGATGGAAGCAGGAGATCCTCGATGGATGAGCTTTCAGAGCGGCTCAAGTCGCTCCTGAGTTTGATCTTCCACAGCAGCATCAAGCGTTCGAAAAGCAGAAGTTTCTCCAGCCCGTTCTGAACAGGTTAGAGGGCGACACGCGAAGATTTTTGGGGTTCTCGCAGCTGTAGCGCAGCTCGGGTCGGCATTCGCCATGGCTCCTTCCACTCCTTCGCGCTGGCCGTGCGCGCCGGCGGCCCCGAGAAGTCGGAGGCTGGGGCTAAGAGGCCGGCGCTTGCGTGGCGCTGGGCTCATTAGATGTGGTCTTCCCGGCTGGGGCTGTGGCCATTCTGGCCGCTGTGGCCGCTCGCGATGGCCGCTGAATACGGTCCGCCAGGGGATCCGACCTGCTGGCTGGGCAACATCAACTTTGAGACATGCTGCCTCCCTCCGCCGAGAGGGAACGAAAATTGCTGGGAAGGTGGCTTCACCTACGAGCGCTGTTGCCGAAGAAATCCACACGAGCCGGTGGACATCAACAAAGTGGCAGAGATCTCCGAGCTTGGTGGCTGTGAGTTAAACATCTTCCAGGAGTTCAAGGAGCGTGCAGGTGGGATTGTCCTCTTGTGCTCCCGGACCCTGTGCACACGGCGGCGCCGGTGCAGGTGCGTGGTACCGCGCTTACGTGCCAAACTTGGTTCTCTTCCAAGAGTTTGGCTACATCTCTCGCCGGTTTGATTCTATGTACAGGACAGCCAGCCAGTACTTCACCTTCCAATAACCCAGTATTTGTCCGCCCGGTTGCCGGGGTCCTATCTGCATTTTCAGGAGCTGTGCACCTGCCGCTCACGTCTCAGCTGCTTGGGAAAGAGGCCAGGCTGGCTTGTCGTCTCCGGGTTTGCTGAGGCCCTCACTGCCCTGCTACTGAAGCTGGAGTCCATCTATTTCGAGGAGGCCGGGGCAACAGGTTAGAGGGGAAGTGTGTCGAGGTTTTGGGCAAATGTTTCCAGTTCCGGAGACCTCCAAGTGTTGCAGCTGATCCTGCACGCAGGAGTCCATCTGGACGCCGCTTTACGCACATTATGCAGAGCAGCACCACCAGGCGACTCCCAGAGTCTGTATCCAGTCTCAGTCTAGGGCACTGGCACGGAATGCACGGGTGGCCAGCTAACTGGAACGTAGAAATTCAATAGACACGAAGATCAGAGACCCGGAAAGGCTGTGGCCAATGGTGACTTGCTGCAACCCGGCTGCAAACATGAAAGGCTGCTGCCTTGGCAAGGCCTCAGTGACATGCAAGTGCAGGATGGCTTTGATGTCTTGCTCGGCTCAAGCTGAACTGCTGAGACATGACCAAGATACTAGCAAGCGTTTCTAGAACAGATGCTTGTCGGCCGACTGAGCTACATGAGCCATGCAACAAACACGCATGGAAGGGCATGCAGCTGTTGATTTCAACGTCGATAGGGTAATAGACTTTCCGGATCTCCCGGAGCCGCCTTACCGGTCTGCCGCCATGCAGGGCCAGTTGCCATGGAGAGCATCCGAGCTGCTGCAGGTTCCGCATGCCTTGCCGAGTACGCGGTCCCGGCAGGTCCGTTTCTTAGCCCTGTTTCGGGTTCAGCCACAACCGCACCCCTTGGCAGCAGATTTGGGATATGGACAACAGTAGAAGGCTAGAAACCCTGAGTCAAATCTGGCAGGCCGTCCAGGCCCCGCAGTGCACACGGGCAGCATCCGGACTTGCATGCACTTTGCTGGGAGGCTGGGTCACTACTGGGGAAACCCTCGTGCCCAAGACAGCTCGGGGGTTGTGCCGTTTTCGGAGGCCTCTACCTCGCGAAGAAGCACTGCCCAAAGACCAGAAGTCTGAGAAACCGCCCGGGCCACGTGCTGTTGGCGGCCGGCGGCGATGTCCAGGACGGTGCTTGCAAAGGCTTCTTTACAGTCCTGGGATGCTTGCTTCACGACGATGGTGATTCACTTCTTGTTGGATGCACGGTGGCAGGTGCCAATGTATCATGGTGCAGTACCTTCAGAATCAACCGGGCTCCTGCAGATGTAGCTTCCTTGAACATGAAGCTCGTCTTCATGTTCTCTAGATCTCTGGTGCAGCGGCGCTCACAAAGCAGCATCCGTACGTAGTGCACCCTCTTGCACATGCCGTTCCCCGAACTTGTCCACATTCAGCTGATGCGAGAATGCGGTGTTGATGAGCAGGAGATCGCAGACGAGGATGTGGAGCTCCTAAGGCAAGTCTTGCCTGAAGTCAAGGAGCTGGTTGTGCTGCAGAAGAGCAACATGGACTTGATCCTCCAGCTGGCAAGGACCATGGTCCCGGTCCAGGCATCCAAAGGGGAGGTGCTAGCACAAGAGGGCCAGCCAGACAGCTGCATGCTCGTCGTGGCGGAGGCTGCGTGTTTTGAAACATTAGGCGGTTTCGTGCCTTGCCACGTTCCTACAGTACTTGAAGTAGGCATGGGATCCCTGCTCCGACAGCTGCTTAGGCGCCACGTTTTCTTCGCATGAAGCCCTGACAGGGCGACGTTTTGCTGGAGCGGGCAGAGCAGTCCAAAGGCAAAGCGAGCCGTGGAAGCTACTTTGGAGCCGAGTGCCTCTTGGGAAACAGCCCACACAGGACTTCTGCGGTTGCAGAAAGCGACTGCCGCTTGCTGCGATTGGACCGAACCAGCTTCGACGCTGTTGTGCTCTCTCAGAGAGACGAAGATGAGCTGGACGAAGAGGATGAGGATGACGAAGACGAGGATGGGGCTACCTGCCTGCCCGGTGATCTGGTCGACATCTTCATTCTTTCCGACAGCACCGGGGAGTCTGCGAGTGCGTCAGTCCGAACTGCTGCGCAGCAGTTCCAGTACTGCTCGGGTTCGACGTGTGCCGCCAGCCGAACAACGGTCTTCCGATTCATTCGGTCTGAGTCGGAGATCCGGAAGATCATCGCATCAGCAAAGGAGAAGAAAGCCATGCTGGCCGGGGCCTCAGCAGATCTCGTCTGGAAGGACTGGGGGTCGCAAGGGACTAGGACTAGGCTTTGACCCGCAGGTCTACACGGTCATGGATCCCAAGTTGCACGAGGTGGTGGTGCAAGAATGCCAAGCTAGCGGAGTCGAGGGTCGCTGGGACGCAGCATCCCCGATCCCTACTCCAATAAAAGCGGCTCGAGTTTCCCAAGTCCACCCCAAATCTCGTAGGTATTGACCTGTGGGGTCCTCTCCTGGCATCTCTGGAGCAGAGATTTGGTGCAAAGCGAAGCGGCATCTTTGGCCGACACCAGATTGTGACAGACGAGTACATGACCATTGCCAGCGTCTCAGCACATTACCACAATTTGTTTCATGGCGTTGCATTGCGACGGTGTTTAAGTCTGGTCTGATCCCGGAGACGCCATGCTTAGGTGAAAGCTATCGAGTACACGCGCAAGGTTGACGACGGGGTTTCATGTCGCGGTTTGGCTTGGTCCGTGCTGGGAACGATGGATTCGAGTGTAGGGACACATTTGGCACTATGAGAGCTCTAAGGTTTTGCCCAACCTATGGGATGAGTGCGACATCATGCTTGTCGGCCCATCACGTGCTGGCAAGACCCCTCTGTCCTTCTACTTGGCCCAGAGAGGGTTCAAGGCCTGCGGCGGGCATCCGATGCCCAAAACCCTAAAGATCCAAACGACAGGTCGCGAATTATCCGCTTATTCCAGATGAGGAGCCGCCCAAGGACCCGCTATGTTTGTCAACACACACACACAAGTCACTCAAAGGAAGAGTTTCATAGATGATAACTGTCCAGGAGCTGTTCAACATCGACCAGCAGAAGTGTTTTGCCCTCCAAATCAAGCCTGAGCGCCTGCAAGAGATCCGCATCTCGGCAGACAGCTCAAACCTTGCAGAAATGTGCCGCATTCAGTTCTCTGGTGGCACAGGCACTCAACGAATGAAGCAATTCAACCGCAGGAACACTGACTACGCAAACCTGTGGCTCGTCTGCACGGAACCTGAGCATGATCGATGGGATTGCCGGATGTGCATTTCATGCTACTTACAGTGCAGTTACTTACAGGCAATGAATCACATCCCCAAGGAACAACATCAAGAAGGAAGTCAGCTGGATAAAGAGTTTCTACTTGCACCTGGACTGGCATCTGCGGCATGTGTGTTGATTATTTGCTAGCATGCTTTCGTCCGCGCCTCTGTCCATCCTAGGCGACGAGGCCCCAAATGGCCCATCATAGTGTCTCGGTCAACACGTGGGTACTGTGGGAAGGGGGAGCATTGCCGTGTTCGCCGATCATCTCAGGACACGAGCAACGCAGGTGTTGCAGAGACGGCCGCAAGAATTATGGAGATTCTGGATCGCCGGAAGGCGGGGTCCGTCACCCATGATGCACACATTTATTGCATATATATATATATATATGTATATATACACGCACGCATATATAATACACATGCACGTACATATACATATACGTATTCATATACACATACATATACATATCATATGCATATACAAACATCGCTTATAGGTATAGTGGACAGTAGATACAGGTTCTCTGAAAAGCTAGTGACTCACGCATACACATGAAGGTTTAGCTTCCGGTCTCGGTGCATGTAGATTCGTTTCATATGTAAGCTATGTCATGTGATCATGGTCTGTACTGTGCTATGTTATGTCGTGTTTGCTTATGGGTCTTAGTTTAGCGCGCCTATGGACAGCTGCACAGATCAGAAGTCCAATTAGCATTCAATCGCAAAGCCTCAAGCCCAGCATCGATTTTTACATAGATCGAGCCGCCGAAGCTCCTTGAGTATTGAAGATTGAGAGCCCTCGTTCTTGCGCTCAGGGCGATGCCCTGGCGGCTTCCCTGGAGTCGGCTCTGACCCTTTGAGACATCCTCCGGTCCTCCTCGGGCCGGGCCCCAACGAAAGGAGGCCGGGCTTGAGCATCTCTAGAAACCCCAGAAAAACTTCACGAAGCCCGAAACACGGACATCTTGCCGTAAAGGAGCGCTCCACCCGAAATCTGCTCTCGATCCCTGGAAGGTCTTACGTGCCCGGGATGCAGCGCGCTCGACGGTGCACTCTATGTCTGTCGTTCGGGAAAACAGAGACCTGAGGGCTGACTGGTGCTGCACTGCTGACCTACAAATTGCCAGTTGAAGGGATGTCTGCGCCTTTAGGAACAGGTTTGGGGATGTGCCGCCGCCTCTCTGATAAGGCAGTGCAGTGGCAATAGTTCATCTGTGGGAATCGATTTGGGGATAAAAGGGGGGTGGGGGGGGCTTCAATGCCTCCAAGGCAAAGCCACCACATCAACGGGTGGGCTTCTCAGCTACCTTCGGAGTCTGTGCGAGTGGGATTTGTCCCAGACTTTTGCAGAGGCATCAAGAAGCAGGGGGTTCTTGTGTGTTTCGTGTCTGCTTCAGGTGGCCACTGGTGGAGGCCCTCAAACGAGTCAATGCTCTCCGAGCCAGCCGAGAACCACGGCTAGAGTCCCTCAGCTTGCCGGGTTTTGCGTTCTGTTGGAATCTGTTCCGGGTAGAGGCGTTCTAGGACTGTTCTCCCAAGTTCTGCGAACCTGTGGTGGTACATCTACATCTCTCCTGTTGTCGATTTGAAGTGCTCCAGGGCACCGGTGACGCCAGTGCTGGACATCGTGCTGTGCTATTGCGGGAGGTGGCTACAGTGAGAACCCGTGGTTTGAGGTTGGCGGACTTAGGAAGGCTGCAGTCAGGAGAGGAGGGAGGGAATACCGCAAAGAATATTGAGTAAGTGATTTGCAGATATTCGATCGGGATGTGTTGTCAGAGCTTTGAAGCTTCTGGAAACGAGTTTCCCGTGCTGGCGTTACTTTCGAGGGGCGAGCGCATCGACTGGCTCCGGGGTTTCCACAAACTCCCGTGGCGGAACGAGGCTGGCCGAGTCTCTCAGGCAGCAAAAGCATCACGGAGGACGTGTCTGTCATTTGTGCCCCGACCGTTTCACCTGGAATGCAGAACCGCTCGGCGTCCACGACGGCTCGAGTCGCGCTCAGGCTCATGCTTAGCCCAGGCGAAAGCATGATTCTGAACAGTCAAATTTCCTTCCGGAGGTTCTACCATAAGTGCGGGGCGATGGGCGACGAGCAGCGCCAGGATTAGCAAAGACACCTTTAGGAAAATTTCCTTATATTTCCTTGTTCCTTCCTTCTGATCGAAGGAAGAGACCTCAAAGCTCAAGGACGAGTGGTCCGACTATTTCCACACTGTGGAGGTGCCCCGAAGATGCCCGGAGTGTTGATGACTCAAGCAGCAGTGCTCAAGCGTGATTTGTTCAGGTCCGCTACGTGGACGACCAGGTGCGAGCCGACGACTGCTCCGCATACCTGGCCTACGTCGTTGACCGATACGACGATCTGCCGGAATTCGCGGTCTTCCTGCATGCAGATGCTCCCGAGGCCACGGCTCCTCGTAACCCTGTGGGCATGCTCGGGTTCTTTCGCGAGTCAATACAAAGAGTCTTCGAGATGTTGGTGGATCGACCTTTGATAACCTTTGACTACGCCGTAGTCGTGCCGAGGGAGTTCATGATATCCTTGTCCATGATGCGTCTGCATATCCCATCGAACTCAGGGAATCAGCGCAGGCAAGTGTAGTCGGCAGAAACAGTCTCTACTCATGTCGAGTTTTAGTTGGAGATGTCCGCTTGCCAGCACATCCCGAGCGTGGATTTGCTGATGGACGCCGTCTTTGCCGCTTCCAGGCACCGTCTATGCTTGCCATGTCCAACGCTGTCCATGATGCACGCCAGGGGCTTCCTCCCAGAAGAGGCAGGCTTCATCCACCTGGCCCATAACTACGTGCGGCACGACTGCCCAGGCCCTGCTCTTCGCAGGAGTGGAAGAACGGCGATCGTTCTGCTTTAACTTTACTGCGTTGCTCGCAGGGAACAGGACGGAGTGCAAGGATCCGGATGCTCCGGAAGTGGCGCGGCTTTGGAGGAGCGGGAACGGGCTGTCCAAGAAACCCTCAGCAAGAAACTCGTAGCGTGGGAGCCACGAGGAAGGTTTTCCACTCGTCCATCGCGCCGACCCGGCTGGAGGCTTGGAGTGTCAGTAATCAGTGTTACAAGTACGAGGCGAGGCGTGCACACGCATCATTGCTCCTTGCTTTGGAGGGCCACATGAACGGCTACTGTTGCGTCTGGATCTCGAGATTTGTGAGAGTCACACTGGTGGCCTTGTCGAGCTGGCCACGCCCCTGTCACCCTTCTCAGGTGCAGTTTCTGGTCCGTCGTGAACGCATCCAGCTACGGACGAAGCAGTTCTATGTGGGGGGCTGTGACGAAGTGGAGATTTTGTGTCGTTGAGCACTCATCGAAACAGGTCGATGCCTTGAACTTCTTTGGAGTGCCCTGGCAGCACCGCAGCACTGCATCAGCTTCGCAAAGAGGTCCAAGGTGGTACAGGAAGACTCAAAATTCAGTTTGTTTTCATACTTGTCTCTCACATGTGCTATCAGGCTGAACTTGCGAACCGTATCGCCAGGAGACTGCCGAGTCCTACTACGAGCTCTTCCCTGTCGGCAAGGCCATCCCTGTTTGCTGCTGGGGCAACTGAAAAGCCAGAAGATGTCAACAGGGAACATAGCCACGTCTTGTTCTGACTACTCGTATGAGTGGCATGATGCTTACTGCTGCGAATTCCTACTGTATGCCGTTCGTGTATTGGCAGGCTTGCGATGTGCGAGGATCTAGGGAATCAATGTATTGTGTCTATTCGTGGAAGCATCGTGGAGGATGTCTTCCAAGCCGCAAGGAGCACTCTTGTAGGATGGCATGTCTTGGAGTGGACTTACGTAGGTGTGTTGAACCGGCATGCGCCGAAGATGCTGGCCAAGTTGTAGATACGACCCGCATGAAAGTATCAAGCACAGTATGAATGCTCACAATCATAGTCATGGCTGCAAATGAGAGCAAAGTAGGAGAACAGCAGCTGCTGCTACGACTACTTCCAACAGTCGGTTGGACATGATGCTTTTACTCTAAATGCATCGTACTTGTAGCTGCGGTCTGGTCTGCCTTGGCTCCCTTCGTTGCAGGTGATTTGGACGCCTGACACACGAGGTCGAACCCCCTGCCAGCTGGCCATGTGACCCTCCTTGGCCTGCGGAGCAGAGCATTTCGCCCGACTACTAAATCGAGTTCGAGTTGAGGAGGATAGAGGATCCAGTTTGAGGGGCCGTGTTGACGAGGTACTTCTGGCACGTTATTTTCGGTGAAGATCTCTGGCTTCCTCGGCGCCATCGTGACTCGCGCCTGCAGCGGGCCTGGATCTCTCGCACATAACATGGCACTGGAGCTGTATAGTTTGGCGTGTACAATCATGACCAGATCTGCGAAGATCAAGGTCCACGTGCTGCATAACGTGACAGCATGTGATTCTGCGGTGGGCCCGTGGTCCAAGGCCCTTGTTCATCCGCATGTTGAACATCGAGGAGCCATTTCTGCACCCTCGCACTGTGCTGTATGTGCATCCATTGCCTTCATTCATGGGGTAGACTGGTCATGAGGCGAGCAACTTTCAACCATGTTCCCGCGCGATCCCACCCTGCCCAGATCACACGATTCTTGAAATATAGCGCCTAACGCCTTCGTGTGTTAGGCGGAGGCGGCGCTCGAGGCCCAGAGAGGTGAAGATGGCGCGGGCGGTCGCGTCATTCAATTCACAGGCCAGTCCCGATTAAGTCCCTTTCATAGTGGTGGCACAGACTATTGCGATCTCCAAGTGAATGCCAGTTGTGACATGCCCTGCCTCTTGCACACATGTCCCATGATTCGATCGTAGCATGCACAAGCAGAGGCGATAACACCGGTGCCGAGGACACGTGCCCCGGTTGCAGTCACAGCGCACTCGTCGGCCATCGCGGGATTCCAGGTCGCCGTTGAAATTGCCCTCGTGCAGGTCAGACAAGTTGTCCTTCTCAGGTACTATCGCTTGCAGAGTCTCTTCACGGAGACTGACCATTCACCGTGAACGCAACCGAGATGTTGGAGAAAAAACAGTGGGCCGCCCTCTTTGCAGTGCCGGGTGATGCGAGCCGCACGCACACGAACTGATCGTCGGTCCGTGCCGCTCTAAGTGGCTGCCGGAGACAACCCTCGGAGGCGCAAAAGCCGGCGAGCCTGCGGCAGACGGCGGAGCGGCTTTGCGAGCCTCGAACTCGGCGCATGCGATGATGCCACGTGGGCCGCGCGGGCACTGCTTTGCGAGTGCAGGCAGGCGCTCCAAGCGGCGAAGAAAGCCCTGGTGGCTTGCGACTCAGAGTGCTGTAGGCCGTTTGCGATCAAGAAAGCTGCCGTTGTCAAGGATGATGTCAAGCCTTGGGAGAAACAGAAGGCCAGTGTGATGTTGCAGAGCCTGCTTTGTTGAACTGGAGCAGCTGCTCTACGCTTCCGTGGATACGTCCCTTGAGAGGCGCGGTTCACTTTGGTCGAGAACCAGCCCAGCGTCATGAAGCTGCAGACAGGTGGGTTAAAAGCGCTTCATTGCAATGAAGATGGGCTGCGCTTGGTTAGGAAAGAGGGCGAGCATGAAGCCTTCGGTGCGTGCTTTGACGGCCGTCCCTCGGTAAATATGAAGAAAGTGCTTCTATCTGGCTTTCAGATTTTGGCTGCCTGACTGGGTGGTTCCAGGTTACTCCTCCGCGCAGCGAGTCGCTCGAGCGAGACCGAGACCGGTCAGTGTCTGGACAGCACAGCGAACATCATCCGTCTAGCGCGCGGATGAGATTTCACCAGCTTCAAGCCAGTTCAATAGGAACAGCAATCGCCAAGGCACCTGCCTCCCCAGCCAGACAAAGGACCGGACGAGTGCCACTTGTAGGTGGAAAAGACACAAGTTCCAACGTAGGACTGCACCCAAGAAGATCAACGAGCTGGATATGCAGGCCGGAAAGTCGTAAAGCTTGCTGCATCGCCTGCGATCGACGTGTCCCCCGGCCGCAGGAGATGCTCTTCTGTAAAGACATGCGCCGCCTGACCGCCATGGCGAAAGCCTGCGCTGAGGACGTCCGTTAAAGTCCGACCTCCGTTATTCCAGAAGACGAGTAGTAAGGAAGGAGTCAGCAGAGGAATGAAGGACGAGAGACATGGTGATATAGGTAGTCCAGGGAGAGGAGCTCAGATCTTATAGAGCCTCCAGGGACTCTTTTTTCGAAGGGTGACTTGCGAAAGGTTGCTGGCCAGACAATTGTACTCCATTAATCTCCAGTGAAGAAGCCATTCACGGTTGGACGAGCTTACCAAGACCAGCAAGCGGGTGTTTTCACACAGCGGGAGCGAGCTTGAGTTGCTTTCCTGATGCTTCGTAGCAAGAGAGTGAGAGGGAGAGCTCTCTATCGCGGACCGCTTCCTCTTTGGCTGCGTGCAAGCAAGCAAAAGAGAGAGAGAGAGAGAGAGAGAGAGAGAGAGAGAGGTGCGCGCTTGCGCACGGGCGCCACGGCGCCTTGTCCGAGTGCAAGCAAGAGAGAGAGAGAGAGAGAGAGAGAGAGAGTCATTTTGGCTCAAGCCGTGAGCGGTTCGAGCCCCGAGCCCACAGAGAGAGAAGGGGAGCAACCCGGGCGTCCGAGCGAGAGAGCCGCGCCTGCATAGCCCTTTGCCAGCTGTACTACAAGTGTGCAGCCCTACGCGACCTCTCCATCCTCGCCGGCCTCCGCGAGTACGGTGGCCACAGAGATCAAGGGGACCGGCGCCTGGCGGCGAGAGGGGGACATTGTCAACCACTACCACAACGAGATCGGCGGGGCCCGAGATCATCGTCTTCAAACCGATCCGCCGCAAGATGACCGGCAAAGGCAGCACTCCGGGGGCACCCAGCCAAGCACCCGCGGGAGACGACAGCCAGCGTACCGGGGCACGGACGACGCAAGTCTCTTCCCAAGAAGCCCTCACCATCCCGGACTCTGAGGACCCGGTCGCCTTCGACAACATGACTGTGGACCACGAGGGGAACTCCCCCCAAAAACGGGGACGCAGTGCCGCAGAGAACGCTGGCGTCAACGCGGGGACATTGGTGGCGCCGACCCTCACCGTGGAAGCCATCGCACAAGCACTCCGAGGGGAACTGCGTGAAGGCTTTGCGCAGCAACAGACCCGCCTCTCCAGGGAAATCAAAGAGGAGATCGGGGAAGCCATCACCAAGGTGAACCGTCGCATCGAGGACGTGGAGTGGGGAGTGACCAAGCAGCTGAACAAGGCCCTGACGGGGATGCAAGAGCTCTCGACCCGGCAAGACAAGCAAGGAGTTGCCATAGTTCAAGTGGGGGCAGAGACCAAGCAGCTCGCCAACAAGATCCTGAACCTCGAGGAGAAGCTCGCCAAGCTGGAGGGACGGGGACCCGGTTACCGCCCCGAAACCGGGGATGCCCGCAGGCCCGCCTTCATCGTCGGAGGATGGAGTCCCGACCAAGAGGCGGCAGTGACTCTGGACAAAGCCAAGGCTGTACTCCGAGATTTACAAGTGGACGTGGATATGGAGGATGCGTTCGTCCCGGGGCTCCGCAGAGGATATGTGATTGTGCCGATGGCCGCCAGGACTGACGAGGACACGTACACCATGCGGGACCGCGTGCAGAAGGCGGTCGTTAGAGTCCGGAACGCAAACGTGACGCTGGGTGAAAGAGAGGACGGGACACCGTCCCGCTTATGGATGGCCATCTCGCAGCCACCAGAACGCCGGAAGAAGGCCCAGCTAGCGGCTAAGGTGAAACGCTTGGTCCTTGAGCAGCACGGGTCCCACCAAGCCCTGGATGTCGAGTTCTCCACGGGGTCGGTGTGGTATGATAACCGCAAAATTTCCTCGACCGGGGGACCCAAACCTGAGGGGGCAACCGAGGCAGGACTGGGCTGGGTTGATCTGAACCAGATTGCCCGCATGCTCGGGGTCACTGCGGAGAACATCCAGGAGGCCTGGCAGCCGCTTGCGGCGGCCTTGCGGTGACTATCTCGAGACCAACGACGGCAGTTTCACCAACAGCGGGGGCCGGCCCGGCGGCAGGCAACCCGCGACCTTGTTGTGGCAACCTGGAACCTCGGGGGCCTCACCCCGTCCAAGACGTTGGAGGTTCTCTTGCCCGCGATTCGGGGAGCGCCACCGCTTCACAAAGTTGATGTATGGTGTTTCCAAGAAGTAGTTGTTCCCGAAGGGATCAAATACGACGCCGACCGGAACTGGAGAATGGTATCCGGGAAAACAGACCGAGATTGGAGAGGAGTAGCCGTGGCCTTTCGCACAAGCCTGGGGACGCACTCACGCACTAGTCTCTCTCGTGCTGCGTTGAGCACATGCATCGTCAACGGGGGCAACATCCTATGCGGGGCCGCCTCCTACCACTTGCCCCACCACGCAACGGTCGACCAAGTCGGGGTCCAGCTAGCAGCCCTTGCAGAGCACCCGGCCATCCGAGAAAGCAGAGTGTTCCTCGGGGTGGACGCCAACGAGACCCTCACTGCCAGACCCGGGGGGCAAATTGCTGTTGCCCACACCGCCCGCGGGGACTTCCTGCTCACGTGGATGTTGGATCACCGCCTCCGCCTACCACCACAACTACTGGAGCAACCGAGCCACTTCCCCTACAACCCAGAGCTCAGGCCACGCCGCTTGGACTACGTGTTTCTAAAGGGGACCCACTCGGCCGAGGCCCACATCGGGGACCACAGGGACATTCCCGCCTCGGACCATGAAGCCGTGGCCCTCGTGACTGCGATGCCGCAACCTGGGGACCCCCGTGGTGCGCAACCATGCTGCGGAGCTCGGCCCCTCAAGTTCCCGCCGATGCCAGAGAAGGAGGTCCATGACATTCTCAAGCCACACGGGGACGTCTACGCTGGACTTAAGGACGCAGCCTTCGCTGTCACCATCCCTAGACCCGGGGAGAAGTTCAAGGAGAGCGAAGCCGTCAAAAGGCTTCGCAACCGAGCCCAATGCGCTCCCGCGGGGGCCTCCCGAAGGCAGGCTTGGAAGCAAGTCACCCGGGCAAGGAAACAGGAGCACAAAGCCTGGTCCCAGGACCTCGCGAGACGAGCCGGGGAGCGCTCCTGGTATGCGTACCGTGAGATCAAGAATCAGACGCGGCGGGACAAGCAGTGGGAGGAGAAGCTCACGGACCACCCAGAATGGCGGCAGCAGCTGACGAAGCACTTCCAGGCCATCTTTGCTAAAGAGGATCCCACAGCAGTGCGCGACAGCGCGGCGCGGCTGACGGCCCACCTCACCGTCACGTGCAAGCACACACCCTGGCAGCCGTTTCTCGAAGAAGACCTGCGGGGGATCATGGCCAAATGGCGTAACAACAAGGCGACGGGGGAGGATCGCATCAGCCACGAAGCCGTACGCTACATCTCACTGACGAGGCAGGGCCTCTCCAGACTGCTGTGGCTTTTCAACGACATCCTGTACAAGGGGACCTTCCCCCCCGGCCTTGACGGCGGCATTGCGGTCCTTCTCCCAAAGACCAAGTCCCCAGGCGATTTTGCGGACACCAGACCTATCACGTTGTCCAACATCCTTCTCAAGATCACCGCTCAGCTGCTGCTAAGGAGGGGACTTCCCCTGCTGCGGCCCATCGGATCCCTCCAATTCTGCAAAGCGGGCAGCCAGTCGGTGGAACTCATCTTGGCATTGCGGCGGTTAGCCCAACAATCCCGAGAATGGCAAGAAAGGTTCTGGATCATCAAACTGGACGTGCGCAAAGCCTTCGACTCCATTAGCCAGACCTACCTCGGGGACCTCATTGCGACCAAACTCGGGGACGCCCTGCCGTGGGAGGCCCGCACCTGGCTACAACTCATTGGCGCCCGAGAGTTTCACGTCGTCCTCGGGGACACTGCCGTACCGATCTCCCAAACCAACGGGGTTCGCCAGGGCTCCCCCGACTCGCCTTCGTTGTTCTCGGCCGGCATCGGGGAGGCCATTGATCAAGTGACCGAGGACCTTCGGGGAGTCCCCCGCCCAAGTGTCAACCCAAAGCTCCCGCCAGCACCACACGGCATCGGGGCGTTTATGGACGACACCTACATCTGGGGCTCCTGCCACGGCTGGATTCAGAAGTGCCTCGAGGCCGTCCAGGCACGCTTCAAGCAGCGGGGACTCGAAATAAACCCCAAGAAGACGATGGTTCTATGCAGCATCGAGGGAGGAGAAGGTTTCGTAATCGGGGACCGCACGGTCGCGGCCGACCCCCCCAGTGCCATCATGCCTGTACTGGGCTCCCCGCTTACCTTCGTGAACCAACCAGCCGCCCTGGTCTGCGAGATGCAGCATAGGGCACGACGGGGCTACCACGCGAATAAGAAGATCCTCGTGTGTAAGGAAGCTAAGCTCGACGACCGGTTGAGGTCATCAATCACCTTGATCAGGAGCGCCGCCCTGTGGGCCTGTGAAACTTGGCCGCTCTCCGATTATCTCCTCAAAGCCGCGAATAGTGTCCAATATCACTATGTCCGCGAAATCATTGGCCGCAAACGGGGGCCACAGGAAGCTTGGCTGGCTTGGAATCAGCGCACGCTCCGCGAGGCCAGAATGGAAGTCTACAGGAATAAATGCTGCGGGGGAAGGTGGAGTACGTTCATCCTGCGCGTACGGTGGCAACTGCTCGGGCACATTGCCCGCCACCCGAGCCCCACTAGGGACATCCTCGTGTGGCGCAACCAACAATGGTGGCAGGAGCAACGACGGCTCGGCCCAGTTGTCGGGGCCAGGCACCCGCACCAGTTCAATTCCCAGCTGGACGATGAAAGGAAAATCATCAAAGCAGCGGGGACCGACTGGATGCAGCAAGCTTGCGACCGACTGCATTGGCAGCACCTGGTGGATACCTTCATCGACCAGCAAGACGTCGAATGGGCCACCGGGAAACAGGCCAAGCTCCAGAATATCAAACAAGCCAAACCGGCCGCCCCGAAGAGAAGAGCACGGGGGCAAGCGAGAGCGATCCTCCCGCCTGACCATACACCGCGCACAGCAGCAGTGCTGGCGATTACAGGGGGAATGTGCCCCTAGACCATCAGTAGAGCGGGGGACCGGATTTTTCGGCAACAAGCCGACCACAGCCACAGCAAATTTTTATATATACTCCCCCTCCTGACTCCGCTTCCTACTCCCTCTCTCCGATATACATACATGCACGTGCCTGGGGCCAGGGCAAGAGAACGGGGACAGACCTGGTGAGCACGCCGTTTGCATGCTCAGCAGCTCTCAGCCTCGAAGAGACAGAGACAAAGGTTGCACCAGAAGCCAAGCATGTCGGCAGCGCGCCGTCTGATGCCATGGGCTGCCGCCGCCGCGGGCGTCCTACTCGCCCTGGCGACGACCAGGATGGGAGACCCCCGACAAGAGCCGGCAGCACAACCAGTGATGACCGGGGGCCCCCCGCCGGGACATCGCTCTGTGGGCTACGATGAAGAGGCCCCCCAAGGAGCGGCCCAACACGTGATGCACGGGGCCAGCCCGGAACCTGCTACTACAACGACCTCTACCACAATCCCCGGAAGCTCGTCCCCTACACGATCCAGCGGAAGAACGGCGGCAGCAACAGAAGAGCGGGGACCAACCCCGCCCCCAGACCAAACCGGGACGGACGACACCCCACCGGCCAGTCTGGAAGCTACAAGCGGGAGTACGACTACCAGGGGGACGGCATCACGAACCCGATCAGCCGCAAGATCAGGGACCTTCGCGGGGACTACCTCTAACAGCGCCAACGACGAGGTGGGCGGGAGCAGCACCCCGGGGACGCCGTCGAGAGCACGACCAGCCGCAAGTACCGGAAGCTTCGCGAGTCCTACCTCACCACACGAGCCACCTCAGACCCAAGCACAGGCACAGGCCGTCCGGAGTGCAGTAACTACATCGACATCTACCACGACCCCCCGGGAATCTCCTACGGCACGATCCACCAGAAGGACGCCGCCGACAGCGATGACGGACGACACGAGCAGGACCCCGAGGACACCTCCGACGGCACGACCGGGCCCAAGTACGAGCAGCTTCGCGAGCACTACCCCGACGAGTGGGCAAGCAACCCCAACCATGGACCCAGGGGCACCTGGCTCGCTGACTATAACCACAACCTGGAGCGGGAGTACCACGTGGACCCCACCGGCAGCACGACCATCCTCAAGTACGGGGAGCCCCGTGACCTCTACCTCTTCCGGCGACAACCAGGTGGCAGCAGCAGACCAGCAGCGCGCCCCACAGAGAGACGCAAAGCAGTTCCCAACAACCACCACCACCACCACCACATACACCACCACCACCATCCCTTCCACCACGACCAGTGTCGCCGAACCACAAGCAGACAGGAGGCGGGCAGCACGACCCCAACCCCCGCGGCCACCACAGCACCCAGTCTCACAGGCCGATTGGACCCTGGGACGCCCCCGATACGCACCCCCGTATGACCCTGACAACGACCCCTGGGAGACCACTTGGCCACCACACACGGCAGAGCACCACGCAGAAGCGGTGGGGACCCAGCAGGACCCAAGCAGCACTCCAGCAGCGGCGACGCCCACAGGGCCAACAGAAGGAACTCCACAACAAGCCCCGACCCACGCCTCCGACACCACAGCCACAGCAGTTCAAGCAGCAGCGGCGCAGAGCGCAGAGGCCCAGACCACCGCACCCACCCAAGGCACCCCGTCAGTACCCAGGTCACCCCGCCCCGAGGAAAGCCAGTTCCCTGGCGTGGACCTCGGCACGACCCTCCTCGACTCTGACGATGAGCTGCCCTTGGCACCACCTGAGGAGGACGAGGCACCAGCAACCCAAGCAGCCATCTGGGCCAGCCTCACCGGGGACCAACCACAGCAAGATAACCCCGACCACCACCTCGAGCGGTACTTGCAGGCCCACCTGACCCAAGCCAGCCACGACCCAGCGTCGTCGTCGACCGACCCCTTGCCAGCCGCCACTGACAGAGCAACCAGGAAAGCCCCACCCATGCAACCGCCGCAGCTAACACCAGCAGTGCCCAAAGCCCCCCCATTGAACCCGGTCCAGGCGACACCCCCAACCCGCCCCCATCCACCCGTCAAGGAGCCCCCTGCGAAAGCTCCACCCAAAGAGGCACCGCCACAGGAACTTCAAGCGGCGACCGCGCAGCAACCTGCTAGCCACCAGAACACTGCATCACCAAAGCCCATCCCCCCAGACCCAACCACCTCCTCAGAGGACCTGTGGACCCAGCTCCGCGCAACACTGGACCGGCTGGACGGGGACCCCGTTCTCTCCACTGGCACCGTCTCCAGCCAGGCAGCAGTAGCCCACCAACCACCAACACCTCAAGCCGCAGCGGAGAACCCAACAGCATCAGAGGACGAGGACCCAGAAGAGCACGGCCAGCCGCAAGCAGAGCAACCCCGAGCACAAGGGGACAGCCCGCCAAGACGACCACCGGCCACCCGGCCGGCCCACCGCAGGACAGCACACAACGGCACCATGTCCGCTCGCACCAGGCAGCCCAACCAACCTCACCAGAACGCAGCTTACACACCACCACAACCACCACTACAGCCGAGCAAGCCACAAGGGCCAGTCATCACCGACGTCAGCAGCAGAGCCCGCCGCTCAGGAAGAACACCACAACAACCACAGGACCAAATGCAGACCCAGGGTGCTCCCAACGCGGAGCCCCCGAGACCTCACCCTCCACAACCAGACACAGCAGGCAGCGACCCAGTGGCCGAGGCTGGCCACGACCAGGAAATCCAGGGCTCCGCCGACACCTCGCAGCCAGCCACAGCGAGCCCACAGCCTCAGCAACCTAGCATGGAGACCCGAGCGACCCAAGGAACAACCAACCAGCAGCAGCCTGCAGCCCCTCACACACCGCAGCAGGGAACCACCCCGGCGGGAGGCGCCAACGCGGGGACACAGCCCAAGCCGGGACCCATCCACCCGACCCCCAACCACAGCAGATTCCAACGGGCACGGCCCCGCACGACTACAGATCGAGCAGCCATGTCCAGCACCCCCAGCTCGGCAGGGGACCCAGCACGCGACAGCACAGGAGGGCCAGAGCAGGCAAGTCCAGGCCGCACGGACAAGCAAAGCAGATGGCCAGAAGGAAGAGGAGAACAGAGAACAAGAAACAAAGAACACAAATCGGCCGTGCAGGCCGCTTTCCAGCAGCGCGGCTGGACTAAACCAGAGCACCTCACATGGAAGGAGGCAGAAAAGTGGCTCTACCCGCCTGGCCAGCGCAGCCGGCCACAAGCTCCACAGGAGGACACCAACTGGGCTGACCTCCTCAACCGCCACCTCCTTCCCATAAGCACCCCGGGGCAACCCCAGCAAGCCGCCGACAGCACCCAGAGCACCGGGGACGCACCCCCAGGCAACACACAACCGCCACAAGCCACTGCCCAGCAAGCTGCATCTAGCTCCGGGGGACCCACCCAGCCCCCCCCTCCACAAGCACCGGAGGCCCAGGAGCCAACTCCTTCCGCCACCGCAACCACAGCTGCAGCAGCGCCACCAGAACCCTACGAATACCAGATGCCACCGCATCCAGCAGAAGACCCCACTAGCAAAAGGGGCACAGCAGCCAGAGCCACGGCGGAGGCCCGCGGAACGGTGGAACCGGCCATTGCCACTGCCACAGCCACACCCGCAGCATCGGGAACCAACTACCAGCGGGGCCGCCCGGCGCAGCAGAACTCCACCCCCACCACAAGCCAGCAGGATCGGTGGACACCTCGACAGTACAGACAGAGGCTGCACCTCCGCCCACACAAGGCCCTCGTAACGTGGCTGGAATCGGGGACACCACCAACCCTCCCCCCGACGTTTCCCCTGAGGCGCAATAATAACCTGCTCTGCCTCTATCGGGGGAACGGGCGCTGGGATATGCGTGTTATCCTGGCGGCCCGCGGAGGGCGGCCGTTCGTGGCCCAGGGGACATACCCGCAAGTCCTCCTCGACCCAACCAATACCGCAGGACAAACCCTATTCCTGCCGGAGGGAGTGTCCCTCCTAGCAACCCCGCTCGGGGACTTCGCCAGCTGCGACCGCCAAAAGTGGGACCTGACAACCTCCCTGCTGCCGAGAGCCTGGCTCATTGAAGTGGACGAGGGTCCATCCAGGGCACCAGGCGTCGAGCAACCCCTCCCGGACAACATCGACATTCGAAGAGGGGACAGCTTCCTTATCGTCTGGGAAGATGACGATTGGACCCTGGTCGAAAGAACACCAGGAGACCTGTCCTTCCGGGGCATTTTGCAGATCCCCTCCCCCATGGAGGTTCCCCCGAGCTTACACCGAAACCCACGGGGATCCCTGAACGTCCCCGGGCAGGCCAAAGCCAGACCTCCACTGGCCCCCCAAAGCCAGGGTTACAGCGGCACCGACAGCGGGGACCAAACAGAACGCAATTGGCCCAGCAGCGACGGCAGCGAAAGCGGAGGGCCACCGGAGGAGGATGACAAAACTGAGCTGATGCAGACTACCCACCAACAAAGCGCTAGCGCCAAGGAACCCAGCAGGCCGAAGTCGGGGGCACCACCGACACCACCAGCGCCCCACGAGCAACCACAACCACAACCACAGCAGTTCCCCGCAACACTAAGCAGCACACGGGGACCCACAACCCGACTTGAGCACGGAGCTCCACACCAGACTCCCCACCAACAGCCACCGGCGACCGCAGCCTTTACCTGGACCGTAACCCCTGAAGACACTTGCAGGGCACCGCTGACCCATGGCCCCAGCAGGGGACACACCACAACCACCACCTCCACCACAGACAACCACCACCTCGCAACCGGAGACGCGGCACTCAACAGAGGTGAGACCCTGCAGAATAACCAGGGACAGATGAGGGAAGGGCACCAGCAGGGGCAGGACAGACACCAGGAGCAACCACAACCACAACCGCAGCAGTTCCACAATATCCGGCAGCTCCGTGACCTGCTCCTCGGTCCCGTGTCCAGTCACACCACGGGTACCCCAAGCATTCCCACTCCAAGCGCACCAGGAGGACAGGCAAACCCTTCCAGCATCCAAGCAGGATCGCTCCCCAGGGGCTCGGCCTGGCTGCTGCCGGGAGAAGACACACAAGAGGCAATGATCCACGCCATCCTGGAGATCGAAGCCCAACAAGCACATGACGATCACCAAGCAACCCACCACCCCCTGCCGACAGCCACTCAAGCAGACAGTGCGGGGACCACGCAACCGGCTCAGGAACACCAACTCCCCCACCACGGGGAAGGAGGCACCCACAGCCACACTGCAGCGGCCAGCACCGCATTCCACAGCCGAGCGGTAAGCACTGCAGGGGAACCCCCCCTCTCTACCACCACAGCCACCGGGCAACGACGTGATTCACCACCACGAGTCGGGGCCGCTATCCAACTCGCTGCCACAAGAGAGCCCGCGGCAAAGCGTCGAAGACTCGTCGAGGCTGCCAACACGAGGCCCCCACCTGCAGGCACCGGGGAAAACCCTGAAGCAACACCGTATATGATCCTGCGAGCACAACAACTCCTGCAGCAGCTCATGCCCACACTCGTGGGAGACCAAGTACCGGTAGCAATGGAAGCGCTACGCCTACTCCAACGGTGGACAACCGCCTTATGGAACGAGCCGATCCGTCTGGTCGGGGATGACTTGGCTGAGACCGTGCAATGGGACCCACCACCTGCAGTACCGGGACCCGAGCCTGACGAGCTCTGGCGACCTGCGGGGGTACAAGACCAAGACGGGGACGCCCGAAGAAGAGCCACCACAGAAGCCAGGCTGGCGGCCTTCCCGGGGTGGGACCCCCGAGATATCCCCTCCACGGAGACGGAAGACGAAGCGTGGGGTCTTCCCAGAAGAAGACGCTCTACGACAACGGGGAGACCGTGGACTACCTCAACAAGTCGACCCGGGCAAAGCTCCGAACAGCAAGCACACCTGAACGGGGACAGTGAGCTCGACAACCGAGCCACACACCGCAGACGGCGCATGCACGCCGTGTTTGACCCCAACTAAACAAGGGGACTCTCCTCTGTGCGTAAGGCTGCGTTTTTCAAAGGAGTCTCAAACGGCGTGCAGTAGCAAGGTGTTTTTGACAGTGCACAGGGGACCCACCCCTTCAATAGTTAACAAGACACAACCACCAGCATCCACCGACGGGGCATCCGGTACAGTGTGTGACGTTCCCACTTATGCTCTGGAACCTCGCCCCTCCCCTTTGCTTCCCCCCCTGCGTACCGGAGCCCCTCCACAGCAACACCATCACCACCAGTGCGGGGACCCAAGGTGTGATGTTCCCTTACTGTGTTCCTTACCTCGGCCTGCTTGTTTCCCCCCGGGACCCGCACTGGCACAAACAACATAGCTCCACCAAACCAGCACCTAGGACAAAGTAGAGGCAGCACGGGGAGCCGCCCTGTTGGTGGTAAGATACCTTTGTGTGCATGTGTGTACATTGTGGAGCATACGGTACGGGGGCCCCCGCTGGGCCAAACGGAACCCAGCTGCTAATCCGTGAATGACACGGAAAATAGCACAGAGACCGACAAGCTGTACGAGGCGCAAGTAGCTAGGGCTTGTGTAAAGGGGTTGCGAGTTGAAGCGCCATGCAGCTTGGAGGTCACCAAACAGTCTCACACCGAACACAGACTTCAGGCGTTGCGCTCGCGCGCGGGGGTTTTGGGGGCTTCCCCCTTACCCCACACGCCATGCAAGCAAGCAAGCAAGAGAGAGAGAGAGAGAGAGAGGGAGAGCGAGAGAGAGAGAGAGAGAGCGGGCACCGCATCCTTGGCAGCGAGCAAGCAAGAAGGAGAGAACTACAAAGACTTAAACCTGCAGGGGAACTCATTCATACTTTCACACTCCTCCAAAGCCCCGTAACAAGGGGGGGGCCCTGGTGGACGGGGGCTGACGGAGGTCTCGCACGCCCCTTGTAAACTCTGAGTCTGAGGTGGCATGCTTCATGTTTAGGTGAGATCTTGCTTGAACGTTTCTCCTCTTGTGCAGGGTACATGGGTGCTCGAGCGCTTGGAGCCAAGCGGTGAAGCAAAACAGTGAGCGGCTTGTGCCGTCTTTTGTGCAGTGGCGACTGTGCCACTTTCACCCCTCATGCCCCGATGAAGAAGCAGAGAGCGAGAGAGCGAGCGAGGTCTTGTAGGAAACTGCCATCTCTTGGCTGTGTGGAAGAAGAGAGACTTCAGGTACAGGTAGGGAGTGGGGTGCTCCTTTGTCGTGTGATTGGCTTGTGGAGGCCGAGAGAGGCAGTAGGGCAGCAGACGCATCGCACAACCGAGATGTGCTCGCAAAGTTTAAGCACGAAGTCAGCCAGGACGCGATGCGCGAGCTGCATCAACTACACGGCCAAGCCGACTCGCTGCGGAAGCAGCTCAAAGTTTTGTCAGAAGAGCGGCAGCCTCACAATTGTGAGCGGGGATGCTCCATGTAATGTCAAGCGAGACTGCTTCAACCTGAGGCAAAAGGAAGATGCACGCTTGCGCCTCAGATGCCTGGCGGGCTGCCTGGTTCCACAGGCTGACGGAGGCTCGCTCCTTTTTCTGGTTCTGCAGAGCCTGTTGCGGTTGGGGAGATGAATGGAGGCGTGAACCATTGCGAATCACGTTGGCTTGAGTTTCTAGACTCTAGACATCGCATAGAGACACACCTCATATATACATGGATGCAGATCAGCTGCAAATCCACGGTTGTTTCCGCGGCTCTTCTTTTTCGAGGGCTCAGCTTCAGACGCCGAGGCCAAGACGCATCCGAGGCGGCAACTTGGCATGGCAAGTGCTTTTTCCACGGTCACCGGGATTTGCCCTCCGAGACAAACCCCGAAGCATGAGCTCTAAGCAAAAGTAGCGTTCGATAAAGCGGGTCTTTAAGACCATACCCGGAAAAACTACGTCCGCTAATTTTGCAATACCTGACAGGCCACAACAATTTACGGAGTTCGTTTCTCTAGCCGCTGAACCGCAAGCCTTCAAAAAGCCAAGCCCTACTTAAAGGATCATGGGAGTTAGTAACTAGGGTGATAATTAGTGTAACTTTTCTTCTAACCCTTATAAGGGGATAGCCCCACTTCTAACTACCCATGAACCTCCAAGCATTGTCCAGGTCCTCCAGGCCAAGATGGTCAGGAGCAGGCAGCGCGGCAGCGAGCGAGGGTTCGGGGAGTTGGTGTTGCTTTACCGGTTCACGACATGTCGCATAGGGGGTGTCTTGGGTGGTTTCGCGGAGTTTCGCGGTGTTCCTGTATGTTCCTCACGAAGGTCCGTTGTCATCGTCGACATTTATGATCACAGGAAGCAGTCCTCGTCAACAATCGTTCTCCAGCATCTCAGGTTGCCAGGCTCGCCAAGGAAGCAGCCGCTCATCAGATGAGCCCTGGTAAAGGGTAGAAGGGGGTTGGGGTTTTGTAGGTACTCAGCGACTCTACGACAAGTTTCGAGTATTCGAGAAGCAGGATTCAGGATGGATGGTGGCATGGAGCAATTTCGATGTGTCACGTGCGACAAGTGGATCCAAGATGGGCTGCCTGTCCTCGTGATGCAGAGCGATACTGGTAACACATGTGAAAGCACGTGTGGTGTACATAAACTGGATTTCCATTCGGATCGCGTCCTGAAGGTTTCCAGGAGCGTCAGATGCTTCGCTGAAGCGAAGCTGTCCAGATGCCGAGCAGAAGCTCACAAATGTGACAGAGGCTCACCGTTAACGAATGCTCAAAGCGCCTTTTCAAGTTGTGCACGTGGCTGGTTTTCGGAACGCATGGATGTTAGTCTGCTAGTGTGGGGCTGCTAAGTCAAGATTGATTGAAGTGCAGACAAGACAGACCCAGCTCGGCCATTTGAGGTCAATGATGTCAATGATTTTGCCAGCTCCCAGCAAAGTCGTCGGTGGATAGATAGTGAAGAAATAGAGATTTCAGAGGGTGGCAAGCCCGCCAAAAGCTACTAGAAACATGTCGAAGTCGATGATTGGATAGCACTGCCTGCATCTCTCTACCCTCTGGTTTGCTTGGTCACGCCCTTGTCTGGCTCAGACTCACACTTGATCACAAGTGGCAAAATACTGCGTCTTTGGCCCACCAGGTTGTGCAGATGGGTGGGTTTCAGGTCGATCTCCTGAGTCTTACGGCGACGTGTTTTGACCATCGCAAAAGAGTGCGCATCTCTCAAGCTAGGTGTCATGGAGACATGCAAACACCTTGTCCTGACGAGGCTTCAAGTTAGTCATACAGGTGAGCGAAGCATGCTTTGACTCGTGCGTCTTGAACAATGATGGAAAGCTGGTGTGCGCCTGGAACAGCGCCAGTTGTGCGACCGCTTCAGTTCCACGTCTCAGCCCGAGCCCAAGACTGACAGTGGTTCCTTCCCCATACCTGATCCTGATCGGATCTTTCAAACGCAGCATGACATCAATCCTTGATTTGTGGGCATCGCCGTCTTTCCGATCTGAGCTCGAACTTGATGGTCGACACAAGGGACTGTTACCCTCATCCCGCATCCGACGTTAAGAGATGATGAAGTGGGTGGAAGGATCACGATGCATCCTACAATATTGAAAGGCCTGCACTTCAGCACTCACCCCAGAAAGCTTAACCCTCCCAGCCTAAGCCTGGACTCAAGCAGCTCACCGGCTTTACTTCCTTTGTGATAACCGGGCGACAACTTCGGCAGCTCTTTTCGCAGCGGTTCGCTGGTCAGCCATGGGTTTCCCTGGCTTCGTGCCGTCGAGATGGATCTGTCGCAGCCTCTTGCCACAAGTGCCGACAGGCGGTCCTGAGCCCTCCAAATGCATTGACTCTGCCTTCAACCGGAACAATTCACAGCTACGATGTTTTGCAAACTTCGGAACCCTGAAGCAAGACATCCGGAAGCCCAAGACCCAAAGCCTCAACCTAGTTCCAGTCACAGGAGGCGCGGCTTAAACGAGCCCGAAGTTCCTGAATTCCCAGCCACCTTCAGTCTCACACCCAAAGCCATACGCGGCGCACACGCACACCAGCAAACTGTAAGCTCGAGACCGTGCCAACCTCAACGGACCCGTCCAACTTGCGAAGTCTGACATAGGAAGAATGCGAACCCGACGTCTTGGAGACCCTGCTACCCAAGTCAGTCAACCACCAACCCCTAATATGATCACTGCCGAGGATCAAACCAGTTTGCAACTGCCTTTCCATTACAACGGCCCCTTTCAAGCCGCGCCCCCCACCCCCCCCAAAGCACACCTAAAACACTAAACCCCAAACCCCAAATGGCAGGATAAATAGAGATTGTTTAGCAGGTCTAATATCACCCAAAGCAACCGACCAATCAACATCGACCTAGCAAACGCAAAAGGCAAAACCCGCCCAAAGCGGCACAAAACTTAGGACCTCAACCAAGCCCTAAACCCTAAACCCCCCCGCACAAATTCCAAACCGAAACCCAAAAGACATAAAAGAAGAAAGAAAGGACCCAAACAAGGCCCAAAACAGACCAACAAAAAGGATTCAAACAAGATTCAGAAACGATTCAAAAAGACCAAGAGCAAAGGACCTTGCAGGGCCTCTGGCAGCGAGGCTTCGGCCTCGGCTCGCTCTGCAACAGCTGCACGAGCCTTCGGCCGACCTCAGAATGGGAGTGTTAAAACGACGTTTTGAGGTGTTTCGTTTCTGTTAAGGGGATTACACGTAGGGTTTAGGGGTTGAGGGTCAGGTTCCGTTGAGGGTTTTAGGGTTTAGGACTTCAAAGGTTTGTTTCCGATAAGAGGGTACCATAAGGGTTCGACAGGTTTAGCGTGACGCAGATTCGCAAACAGGCCCTGAACGAATCTCCCTAACTTGAGTGCTTATGGTGTCAGAAGGGCTTCGGGTTTAGGAAGGTTGTTCCGGAAACCCAGTAGCTTAAATAAGCTTCGGGGGTGAGGGTTCTCTCAAGGTTTAGGTGTCGGTTCCCCGCCACATCTAAGCAGAATTATGCCCAGGCTGAAGTTTTGTTATGTTTTTTTGCTTCGGTCGCGGGCGGCTCTATTCAAAGCAACAGGCAGAGCCGATGATATTTTCTGACAATGCACACGCACACATACAACATACATACATAATACATACATACATACATACTTACTTACATGCTTACATACGTACATACCTACATACGTATATGTATACTTATATGTACAAATGAATAAACATTCTATTCTATCCTATTCTTTTCTATTCTGTTCTATTAATATTATATCATATTATATGATATTACATCGTATTATGTCCCATTAGACTAAATTATATGCATGTGTAATGTAGACATGGATGGATGTAGTGTCTTGTGTGATGGTAAAGGCTATGTGCAGTTACAGTTGGTATGGTCTCCTCGTTTCCGTAAGAGCGCGGCCGGTGGAGTTGGCAGGAGTTTTTGCGAATGTAACTCGAGATTTTTGCTTCTGGGTCTTAGGGAACCCTCAGACTAGTAGTGAGGGTTTTCGGTAGTTTGGAAGGCTTCGGGTCTTGTTTGTAGAGCATGCTGGCGCATCACTAAGCGCTACAAGTTGACAAGGACTTTCGTGGTGCCAGAGACACATCGCTTGGCTCGGTTCGGCAAGAAGACTCCCGGCTTGGCCCAGAGCTGTTTTTGACTTTCGCGATTCAGCTTCGAAGCGTCGCGGGTTCACAGTGTTGCTTCTCTTTCTCTGTGCGACACAGTTGGGCCAGGATTCGTGGAAAGTCCGAGGAGAAGAACCTGGACTTCGCTGCGAGTGAGGCCTCCGACATGGCCCAAAGGTCCTCCGACGGCATCAATGCGGATGGGGAGCTCACGCCAAGCACCCGGAAGACGGCGCTGGAAGCGATGCGAAACGTGCTCCAGCGGACGGAGTTCACCCCGCGTGCTCTCGCGGAGGAGGACGGCTTTGGAATGGAGGCCCAAGTCGAGGACGACGCAGCTTGGTGCTCTTCTGGAATCTCAAGTTTTTTCGGTTTTCGGGTCTAGAGTCTGGAGTCTGCTAGGGAGCGGTTTTGTCCTGACAGACCCTCGAGGTAACCCGCAGGCTGCACACCCGTTTCCTGGAAGCAGCGCGCTCTGGCAACTTCCGGGGAGTGGTCGAGGCTCTGTCGGAAGGGGCAGACCTCCACTGCCGCACTGCGAGAGGCAGGGGTGCCGCGATTGGGCGGTTTTTCTTTCCGAGTTGTTGCTCTCCGTGCTAGCATTGATGGCATCGATGTCCTACGGCAGTTCGGAAGCTTTGGATTATAGCCGTTCGAAGCCAGACGCACATCCTGGAAAGTCCCCGTATCTGGCCAGGTCAGACCGCCTTGATGCTGGCAGCTGCCTGCAGGGGACAAAGCTCCCTGCCGCTGGGCTGGGCTCTTTTGCAGATTTTCCGCTTGGGGGAGCAAGCAAGGGGAAGATCTTTCAGTTCCTTAGCCTTAGCTTCCCTTATGCAATGCAACGGCTTTGGAAGGTTTTTTTTCCGAAGCCTCCGAAGCTGAAGTGTCGTTGCGTCAAGGCAGATCATCGGCTTCCTGGTGGAGCCCGGCGCTTAAGGGCTCGGGATGGCTCCTAATGTCCAGTTCGGGATCTCCAAGGGATGTTGAAGTTCGAGGGAACCTCGAAGCCTTCGCTGTGGAGGGTTTGTCTGTTAGGTGCCGCGTGGACGTCGAAGCCGCGGACCACCATGGTTGGACAGCCCTCTTGCATGCTTGCCGCAACGACATGAAGGAGGCCGTGCAGCACGAATGAGTATGTGGATCAATCACCTGTGTCAGAGTGCCTCATGTGGCAGACAAGCTGTAAGGCTTTGAGACCTCGCTCACTTTAGCCTACGAGGCAGCGGAGCTGCTGCTGAAAAGCCAAGCCAATGTCAATGCCAAGTCTGCTGATGGGCAGGCAGGGCCTGGCTTTAGTGATCTTCAGAGTGCATGTGAGCAGGGAGGGGGTTTGTCCGCCAGAATGCAGCGATGCTGGCCGCAGTGGAGTCATGGCCTTAGGAAGCTGTGATGGCCTGAACTTAGAGTGCGCTTATTCTACACAGCTTGTTCTGTGGCTACGCCAGCCAGGTCGGGTGATGAACTTGTCATGCGACTCGTAGGCGAGATGATTGCAACGTTCCGCAGTCTGTTTCGAGTTTTCACGGACCGGCAGGATTCCGAGTGGGGCTCGAGCGTTCAGATCGCCGTGGCTACACGTTGCTGCTCCTTGGAACAATCTTACAGCCATGAACTGTGTACCGTAAAAGTCTATGGAGTGAACCGGAAGACAGAGCGCAAGCATGTGCCGCTGGATCCCCGCAGTACGTAGCGGAAGCCCTTCAAACACGTTGGCTCCACAGCGTGGTCTGAGGATCCATCGGTCCCTTTGCGGATCTGAGGTTCTATGCTGTGGAGACCGGGCGCCGAGGGCTCAGAGAGTTTGTCCCCATTTGGAGGAAATTCTCCTCCACCGCAAGGCGAGGACCTGGTGAAGTGGCTGCTGAAGACCAGGTCCAACCCCAACGCTCGCTCCAAGGAGCTCAGAGCTCATGCCACAGGGTTTAGGGTTGCAAGGGTTTAGGGTTTAGGGTCTTCTTGCCGACGCCTTGCGGCTAGATTCTTCGGCACGGTATTACTCGCAGGACAAGAGCACCTGCACCATTCTGGCTGCTGAGAAAGGCTCCACGGCACAGGTCGTGATGTTGCCAGCAAGCTTGGGAAGAGTCCGTGTGACTGTCAGGTCATCTGAAAATCTTGAAGGCTCTTGTGGCCAAGAATGTCGATGTGACTCGGCTGCTGATGAGTGCGATGTGGTAAGTTCTTTGGCCTTCCAGCTCCAAGGTAAATGCGCAGGACCTCATGGGCCCAGCGCTGAGACCTGATGCTTGTAATTGCACGGTTCCAGACGATCGAAAGCCTTTGAACTAACTCGGAGCCAGTCAGTCAAGGAAACAATGCCTTGCTGCTCAGTGTGATGGCGGCGAGGGATCGTGTTTGTCGACATCTGCAGTGCCAGATGTCCCTGCATGCCCATCAGATCGTGTTGCCTGGCAGGACAATGTGGCCCGGTATCTCCTCAACAACGGGGCAGACTGCAACGTGAAAAACAAGGCATCAAAATTACTTTCTGACTTTTCCTTTGCATCGTGTTCGGGCTGGGATATGCATCGGCTGATGAACAGTCCCCAAGGACGGAACCACGGCCGGGAGCCCAAGTTCGAAGGGAATCGAAGGGAGACGGAAGTCTCTCATGACACCGACTGGAACAAGAGACCATGTGAAACAGCGCCCTGTTTCCTCATAGCATGGCATCGCGGCATATCGAGGCCTTGGAGGTCGCGGCGAAGCTGAAGCTGGGACCGGTGGGGCGGCCTGGTTTCCGTTGTTCATTCTCAGCATCTCAGTTTTTTCGCCTGTTCAGCTCAAGAGCCTCCTGGACGTGATGTCGCGGAAGACCCAGGAAGGGGTCCGGTTTGGATATGCTTGAAGGGGGAAGCTCCTCACATCAGCAGCACCATATTCAAAATCGCATGCAACCAGGATCGAGGTGGCGAAGAAGATGACGACCTGTAGCATAAATGTGCTTTGGCGTCACCCTCTTGACCTCCTGGGTGGTCCCATGGTCCTGTGAACGAGCAGGGCTTGTAAACGAAGAGCAGCATCTCCCCACGGGATGGCACTGAAATTGGTGCCGTCCGGTGTGAAGATGGCGCATTGTACAGCTGTGACGGTGTTGAACAAAATCAGGAGCACCTGAAGGCGAAATGCTCGGCCCGTAAGAAGATGCATGGGCAGTGCGAAGTCAAGGTGTCGAGGCGACAGCGACTTCATCCAATGCTTCGAAGCGTTTCTCCACTGGCTGCGCCCTTGGTGCCTTCCCCAGATCTGACTCCATCGAAGCTCTCGATAAATGGCAGCTGCAGAGGTTTTTGCAGGATGGGCGAAGACGAGCGCGAGCAGACGGCGAGCGATGCCACGGCTCCCCTTCGCCTTCGGCAAGCCGCGTGAAAGAAGGCTGGCTGTCCAACAGCCCAAGAGCAGGCATGCACCATTCGGCATACTGCATCACGTGCAGGTCCTTTGGCATCATTCGTTCTCGCGTGAAGGCAAGACCAAGACCAAGTCGGGTGTTTATCCGGAGAATTGCACGTCGACAGCCGTGGCACATGCAAGGATGATCAGGATGATGGGTTGCAGGAAGGCCAAGCCGTGCACTCGGCTACAGTGGAGACGTCACCGAGGTGTTACCTGTGACATGTCTGGGTTTACTTAGGTTGGCCTTCACTTCTTCTCGGATGCCAACTTCAAGCCCCTGCGTGATCACTTCGTAGGCCATCCCGCTTTGTCCCAAGACCATCCGCCACCTTCCAAACCAGCATCCGCACCGCCGCTCCCGAGCCAGGCTCGCTGGCAGACGACCGCATCGAACTACGGGAGACCTTTGTGGAGGCAGCACTCGCGGCGCCCTTTAGCTCTGCTCCCGGCAGTGGTGGAGTGACGCAGGATTTGGGCGTTATCAAGCAGCGGACGGCAGGTGGAGCCCTGTGCTTGGATGAGAAAAAGAAGCGGCGCCTTTCTCTGTGCAATTTTTTGAGACAGGTCCCAGTCTACAAATTCAAGACGTCGCTCGTCCGCACTTGCAAAGTGTTCCGCAAGTTGCAGACGTTTTCACCCTGCTACGCCGCGCGGGGTGCATCCTGCACATGAACGTTTCGGACTGCCACTACGCTGTTGTTGCTGCATGGTTTTGAGGAAGCTTCTGCTGGAAGCACTGGAGGAGGCAGCCCCGGAGGAGCCATTGCTTCGACTGCCTCTACTGCTACTACAGTACTGCTGATACTCCTACGACCCTACCCTACGACTACTACTGTTGATAGTTTAGAAGCCTTTAAACAGGCGTTCACGTTAGATAATTGAGGTTGTTAAGATATTTATTACTTTAGTCCCACTTCGATTTGCGAAAAATACATGCCGGCCCAATAACGCATGAACCGATATGAAAAACATGAGAACACTATGAAATGCCTGTGAACATGCTGAACAAATATGAGAAGTATGACAACTTCTATGTGCCAGTACTCTTAATCATACTGGTACTATTAGTACAGCATTTTCAGGCACATCTAAATCATGGTCTTCCCATCATGTTCACTCCTACTACTGCAACAGGAACAACAACAACTACTGCTGCTACATATACTGCTACTACGACGATGACTGCTGCTGCTACTGCTTTTGCCGCTGCGACTGCGACTCCCACTGCCAATGCCACTGCCACTGGTGCCGCTGTTGTTGATGTCTGCTCCTACAACAACAACTACTACTACTACTACTACTACCACTACTACTACTACTACTACTACTACTACTACTACTACTACTACTACTGCCACTACTACTACTACTACTACTACTACTACTACTACTACTACTACTACTACTACTACTACTACTACTACTACTACTACTACTACTACTCTACTACTACTACGACTACTACTACTACTACCACTACTACTACTACTACTACTACTACTACTACTACTACTACTACTACTACTACTACCACTACCACTACCACTACCACTACTACCACTACTACGACTTCAGGCATTGTAACGAAGAGGAGGAAAATGAAGGAAGAGCAGGATGATGCAGGGCCTGTTGCAGTGCAGGAAGTCTTTCTCATCTCAGACGTGGACATCCAATTCTTCGGGGAGGTTCCTCATGTTATCAGAAGCCCAAGCAGCTGTGATTTTTCTGTAGAAGGCAGAGTTACATGCTGAAGTCCCGCTTGGATGGGTCCCTCTTGCTCGTGTCAGATCCTCCCGCTCGTCAAGGAGGCACCGCAGATGAGGGCTCACAGAAAGTCTTCCGATGTTTTCACGGACATGGATGGAGCCCAGGTCCCTCAAAGAAGGTTTCTGTCTCTCTCTCTCTCTCTTTGCTGATGCGTGCTGGGGCTCGGCCTTCATGTGGCCAGGGCATTGCTGGGCGGGACCTGTGCCTTCAGCGGGAGTTCACCAACTTGGGTGCGAGTCTCTGGCACACCCTGGCGTGCTGATTTTAAAGAGCCAGCGAGCCGCATGACGAAAGGTGTGAACATCGGCTTCATGGCAATCAGACGGACTGCGGCTAGCATGAAGTTCTGGCCAAGCTGCCGTGTTTTCACGGGGGTGCGACATCCTTGCTTGTCACTGTCCTTTGTTTGAACGTTGTCGAAGAGGAAGTCTGTGTGGGACGAGCTTCCAACTGGCCGCTGGATCCCCGGAGAAGCTGCCTGGCACGTTTCTACTCACACAGTCCGTTCGTTGCCCAGGGCATGACCAACGCATCGCTAGGATCTCAGAAGCAAGCTTGCGTGAGTGCCATGCAGCAACTCATGCCGCCAATCCAGTGTCACTTCGCCGTAGTGTAGACGTACCTGAGGTCAACAATTTGTTGTACGCCGCGCAAGTGCCGGGCATGTTGGCTCCTCAGTTAACTGCTCCTTTTCAGCGGTCAAATTCTGCAGGGCTCTGAGACTTCCTTTTCGGTTTTGGGGTTTGATCCCTAAACCCTATACCTTAAACCCTAAACCAAACCTGCAACCCTAAACCCTAAACCTTAATCCGTGCCTCCGTCTCTCTCCGTGGGACGCTTTCTGAGGAGATGGGGATGCTTTCCTCCCGCCGTCTGGGCTTCGTCTCAGGCTCGGGAGGGTGTCAATTAACACTAACAAGAAATAACTAGTAATAATTCACGGTATTTAATGATCATTAGTAATAATTAATAATAGTAATGAATAACAGTTAATAATAATGAATGATAGTAAATGATGATTAAGACTATCATGGAAAATCAGAGCTTCGGACCATTTTGGACCCTGCGAGGCCTTTGATGGCAACGGCGTGCCGGAGCAGATCATCCTCCATCATGCGAACTGGGTGGCCCTCGCCCCAGCAGATCTTGGTTGAAAGAAAAAGCAAGCAGCGACCGTGCGTGAGTGCGCAGGGCAGTAGCAGACGCACGACTTACTTTTGGTATGGATCATCTGTACTTGTAATTACCATCGCATGTCTTGTGAGGTTCGCGACTACCATGCCGGTCCTGAAGGAGGCTGTCGTCTGGTGGTAGGAGGAGTTTGGGTTCAACGTGAGATTCTTGTGGCTCATCGGCAATCTAGACCTGTGTTGAACGGCAAGCGATGAGCCTATCACGATCTGGCTTCGAACCTCCCCACAGCTCCGTGCAGGTGCTGATGCCTCGAATCCGTCCCAGCCTTGGCTCGGATGCTGAAGCTCTCAGCCCTGCTCTCGTGGGATACAGTAGTTCAGCATGGTAGTGCTGCTATCGGTGGTGGCGGCGGTGGTGGTGGTGGTCGTAGGGCAAGATGGGGGTAGATAGCGGTGCTGCCCTCTTGCGCCTTCCTCGAAGTCACAGTCACCACCTTCCTAGCCTCAGCAGCATCCAGCAGCCTCCTGCACGCAGTAAGTGCATCTCACTTTGGGGCCCGACGAAGGCTGGCAAAGCTTCAGCAGCTCCGGCAACTCCGCGAGGCGGTGCAGGCGGTTGGGGTTCAAGGCTTCGGGGCGGGGTTGAGAAACTCCTTGGCGGAGGAGGTGTCGAGTGTAGACACCCTGAGGCTGTTGGGCATAGGGTTTGCAGTCGCATGTCGCAGATCAGACAGCTTTGCACATGCCGATCCTGGAAACAATACTCGTCTGAGTGGAGCATGCAGTGAATGCAGTGGCAGGGCGAGGATGATGGCGGCAAGCTTGATTTCTTCCGTGGCATCTCCCTGGATCCAGCCGGCGTCTCAGTGCCGCTGCAGCTGAGGTTGCTGATGCGAGCGCACCCAGAAAGCTGTGCCAGTTCCCTAGTCGCCTACTGAGGACCTCGCAGACTACCATCAGAGGTCTCTCGCTGAGCATCCACAGGAGCGGTTTGGAGTTCCAATGGAGCCGCGAACTTCTCAGGACCTATGGCGACCTCAGATATGGGCCGGAGTGGACGGCTGGAGCCCTGTCCCGATGACATAACACTCTTTTTTCGCGACAGATCCGACATATCCCCAGAGTTTTGCGCTGCCGGGCTATCCTGGCTTAGGCCTTGCCGGTGGGACACCCAGCCCGGCCCGGTGGTACACGCCGTCAAGTCCGCTCAGCGAAGGCGTGCGTACGGTCATGATTCGTATCTCAGGCCAAAAGTGGCAAGAAACATGTCCGAAAGCGTGCGAGTAACAGATGTCTCGTACAGAATCCTTCGCGAGCGCTTCTTGCACTCTGTCCAGTGCAGGCTGGGCTGCCGGAGGTTGGTTAATATGAAGGCGGCACATTCGTGGTCTATGTGAACGCCTCGGACATGGTCAGCATGCACAAAGGCATGGGAGGCCGACTACAGCCTCGCGCTACAGAGAGCTCATGGAGCGGGACTACCGCCGAGCCAACCGCTCGGAATGGCGGCAGTGGGCTTCGGGAAGAAGTCCTCATCCTTTCGAGACATGGGGAGTGCGCTGGACGCTGCAATGAGGAAGAGACCTGACATCGAGTGTTGAGCTTCTCACATCTCGTGCTCGCTATGCAGCGCCACAAGCCTTCAGTGGCAGAGCCGTGCAAATCGAATGCTTGGACGGCGGCAGCAACGGAGAGTCTGAGTCTTTGCCCGGAATGGATCGGCCTCATTCAGCGTTCGCGGTGAAAGATGTTCTGCGGTGCGTGTTGTACGGCTGAGCAAGTTAGATGGCTTCAGTTGATGACATGTCGATGACAGTTTCTAGTCTTGTCGCTCTCAGAATTGCTTATTCAAGTGTGTAGCCTAAAACACCGGTCTGCCGGAAACCTGGGTGTGGTTCCGGATCCAGATGTGGTCGTTTGCATTCAGGGTTTTTGATTGCTTAGCAGAAAACGAAGGTTGACATTGGGGGGGAGTCTAGGATCAGTGGATTTTACTTGCAAGTATTGGGCAAAAATGAGCAGGGCTGCGTTCCATGGCTTCATGCATGATGGCCCAAGTTCCAAGTTGGCATCGTGAAAAGAACATTTTTAGGACATCTCTCCTTCAGCAGGCGACCTGACCAGAAGATGCAATTCGGTGGCAGACAGGGGTCGCAAGGATTCGAAGCTGACATCCTCGTGAACCACAGCACTACAACTGCCTGTCTCGACTTTTCCACAAACAGGGAGTCAGGGTAATCGTTCTTGGGGAAGAGCAGAATTTGCACACAGCATGTCCAAAAACAGCGTTATCTGGGTGATCGTTGATGTCCTGAGCTCTATGGAACCTCTGGAGTGCGTCCGCGTAGAAGTCGATGGTGTGCTGGGGCTCGTGCCCCACAGCTGGCCGCCAGGACCAGTCCGTGTGGCGGCGGTTTTGCCAAGCAGCGTTCTGGCATCGAAGATTGGTGTCGGTGACGAGCTTCTGAAGGTCAACGACACCAACGTCTGCGACTTGGATCGCTCTGCGCTGGCGCGTGAGCTCAGCAGGAGGCCGCTGAGCCTGGAAATCAAGCGATTTTCGTCGCTGAATCGGGAATGCTCTTCTGAGACCATCGATGTTCAAGTGGGGGTCTCTGATGGTGCCGTGGGCTTCTGCCCTCGAGATTGGCACAGTAAGCCGATGGTGGTGGGAGCTGTCCTTCCCAACCAAGCTGCAGCTGCAAAAGGCGTCAGAGAGGGCGACGTTCTTGTCCTGGTCGATGGGCAGCAAGCAAGCGCCATGACGGCTGCCGAGCTCGCTACAGCTCTGTCGCGAAGGCCAATCTCAATTCGCTTCCAGCGAAGCTTCGACGAGAATGAGACGGCTCGTGGTGATCCGTTCCTCGCCTCTCTCGACGACCCTCCGCCTGCAAGGACGGGCGCATTCGCTGCGGCCGCGGATGCGGATGCACGCAATGGACGCGATGGGCGCGAGCTGCTGCTCCCATCCGAGACCTCCGAGGTTGCCTCAGCCACGGCAAAGCAAATTGTGGAGGACACCTCGGCGGCCTCGGCAGAGGCGGGGTTGCTGTCGGCGTCGCCTCGGAGGCCTCCGAAGCCCAGGCGCCCCGTGAAAGTTCGATCGCAGCCAGAGCAGCCGCAGGGACAGGAGCAAAGACAGCTCGCGGATGCTTCAACTCGGCGCCCTCCCCAGCCAGTGAAGCCTGCAACCAAGCCGGCAAAGTCTCAGGCACCGCGAGAGGCTCTTGAGGGTGGAACGCAGACTGAAGCTCCGCTGACGGCAGAAAAGGGCGTACAGCGGGATATTGAACCTCAAGATCTTCAAGAGCTGCCGCAGCCGCTGTCTGCAGCGAATGCTCATGTGGTGCCTCTGGAGCAGGAGGAAGAGAAGGAGGAGGAGGAGGAGGAGGCACAAGCATCTGGTCAAGGCGTCGACGAAACTGCTGCGGCTGCTGGTCCTGCTTCCAATAATCCCGAAGTAGCAGACCTGCCGGCCTTGCTTCGGCCGCCAAGCATCCTCGAGCCTCAGCCCGACATGCCACCGCTGCGCCCCAGGGATCTGAGTCTGAGCCTTCGGCGCCAGTCGCCAGAGCCTTTCAAGTTCCGGGAGTTGCCTCCTCCCCCGAGGGCCCCGCCAGCTCTCTGGGCTGAGCCCAGAGATCTCGGAGAGATCGCCGTCGCCAACTCGCGATCTCAACGGCCTTCGATTCTCAAAGAGCTGCCGCCTCCGGACCGCCCGCCGCTTCCTGTCGAGGTGGCCTGGGCCCGAGTTTCTGAGAAAGGGGGGCGGGCCCGCGCGGCAGCAAAAGGGGACTTAACTTCTGCTTGGCTCTTCTTGCCAGTTCAGGTTCCACTTAAATCGAGTGTATGGGCTTCGAAACATTCTTCTGTTTGAGTCTTTGCACGGCAAGGAAGAGGAGCTGCAGCTTTGGCGCCACGTGCCCGAAGATCTAAAGCCGGACTCCCCCGAGACGGCAGAGGATTTGGAAGAGTGGCTCAGGTTATCTTACCAGTATCTGCCAGGCAGCACAACCATCTTCTAGATTGGCAAGGAGACTCTGCTAGAGCTCATCTATTGTCGCGAAGGCGGCCATGGACAAGGCACCTTTCAGACTCGCACTGTGCTTTCGCCGCAGTGCTGCGACTCTCACTGCCGCTGCCGAGCTTACAAGAGAAGCCAACCTCGCGCACGAGGGTGATCCTGCACACGCATCCAACTCTGACCTCTCCCCGGACTCATCCCGCACCTTGGAACGAGAAATTGTGATTAAGCATCGCTGTGCATTGTAAGTGCCGGGCTTTTCATTCGATCTTTGTCTCAGGATATTGCACCGAAGCGCTGGTCGAGCTCGACCCGTCGATTGCACCAAAGTGCTGGCGGCGCCAGAAAAGTGCGAGTATTGCAGCCGTGCCGGCACCTACAATTTCTAAGATCCGATACCTTCTAAAACCGTGTCTCGTTTCCCGAAGTTACAGCAGTCCCGGAATACTCCACTGAACTGACACAGGCCTCAAAGACCGGCCCGCCTGTGGTGTCGTTAGAGAAAGAGAAAAATAGAGAAAGAGACAAAGAAAGATATAAGAGAGATAGGGAGAGGGAGAGAGAGAGATAGAAGAGACGATTACGAATCGCGAACTTGGGAAGTTTCCACCCAGACTCCTTCGCCCGCAAGCGATTAAACAAGAGAGAGAGAGAGATAAAGAAAGGGATATAGAAAGACAGAGATCTAGAAATACTACGCTTCTGAATTTCTATTTGCGTAATTTTTTCTTATTTCTATATATATAGGTTAAATACATATAATTCAAGGAAATTTTATTTATATGGCAACCCATTTTCACGAAATTCTCAAAGAATTTCATCAAATAATTTCTAAGAAATTTCTAGAGAATTTTATTAAATAAAAAATATTATATTTTTTTTTCCTCAATTTCATAGAAATACCACCAGGGACTTGTACGAAAACCTATAAAAACATATTTTCTAATTTAGAATAATAGCGTTTATAACTGAAATGATTCGATATCATGGG